CTCCTTCCCCTGGTGGAGGGCCAGGGGAGAACCCTAATTCTCCCAAAGAACTGACTCTCCCGTCTCTGAGCACACAGAGTTCTTGAACGACACTGTGCGGCGCCTCCAAGCCATGCACCCCTCGTCCTCCTCTGTCCCAGAGCCGGATGACTGTGAGCGCCGTCCCCGGACCGTGCCGCTCTCATTCCCCTCTGTCGCCAGCCCCTGGCAGAGTAGACCCCGTGGAATGTTCTACCTTCCCTGGCCTCCTCTGTCGATGACTGTGCCCCCTCACCAGGCCGCTATGCTATCCACGTTTGGGCCAGTCATTCCACCACTGATGGGAAGTCTGTGGTTCGTATTACCCCACTGGTACAGTCGTTGGGAGCCTGGCTAGAGCTTCCCAACCTGTCCCGCTGGGTCGCTCGGATGATCAGGCTCGGCTACGCGATTCATTTCGCGCAGTCTCCTCACCACTTCAGGGGTGTCCGCTCCACTATGGCCGGTGGCAATGCCCCTATCATGAGAGCGGAGATTGCTACGCTGCTGGCGAAGAGTGCAACTGGGACTGACCCTCCAGCCAAAATGAGTTCCAGCTTCTACAGCCCTTTGTCCCGAAGAAAACCGGTGGGTTATGGCCAATCCTGGACCTACGCATGCTAAACCGCTCCCTTCACAGGCTGCCGTTCAGGCTGCTCTCCGCCAAACGCATTTCGAATGTGTGTGGCCCCAGGATTGGTTTGCAGCGATCGACCTGAAGGACGCGTACTTCCATGTCTCCATTCTCCCTCGACACAGACCGTTCCTACGGTTTGCTTTCAACGGGCAGGCATACCAGTAAGCGGTTCTCCCTTTCGGGCAAGCCCTGTGTCCTCGCGTCTTCACGAAGGTCGACGAGGCAGCCCTCCGGGAACAAGGATCTCTTTTCTCGGAATGGATGTAGACTCGGTCGCCATGTCCACGCAGCTTACAAGCGAGCGCACGCGCGCAGTCACTGCTGGCTTGCCTGAGACAGTTCGATGGCAAAAGTGTGGTTCCACTGAAACTTTTTCAGAGGCTCGTGCATTCATGCAAACCCAGCATACATGACCTCTAGAGGCATCAAAGTGGAAAACTTCATGAAAAAAGGAAAATTGGGTCAAAGGACCAGTATTCCTCTATAAACATGAAAGTGAATGGCCTTGGCAACCAGATCATACAGGTGCAATGGAAGTGGAATTGAAAAAAAATCAGCTGTAGTAAATTGTGTCAGTGCTACAGGAAAAGCGAAACCTTTGGATAAACTGATTGAGTTTTATTCAGAATTGTACAGATTGAAGAGAGCAATTGCTTGCATGTTGAGGCTGAAGGAAATACTCCAACACCTATCAAACAAGAGACGTGAAATTCAAGCTACCATAAGTCAAACTGAAAATAATCAAAACAAAAAAAATATTTTAGTAGAACATGTAGAAATGTTGAACTGAGTTTGATTAGTTACAGTCAAAGACAGACATTCCCTGATCTATTCAAATCTTTGCAAAGCAGTAACCATGTCAAAAGAAGTAGTCCACTGTCCAAACTGGACCCACTGGTGCAAAATGGTATAATATGAATAGGTGGTCATTTAAATCAGTCCGCAATGCCAGAATCTGCGAAAGCATCCAGCAATTCTTGATAAAAAGCAGAATGTAACGTCTTTGATTCTGAAGGATATACATAAAAACACAGGCCATAGTGGCAGAAATCAAATCCTTACAAAACTGCAAAACACATTTTGGGTTGCTGCTGCCAGTTCAGTCATACGGAATCTGATTTCTAAATGCACAGTGTACAGAAGATTAAATGCCTAAATCAACAAACAGAAAAGGGCAGATCTGCCAAGAGATTGTGTGTGGTCAGATAATCCTCCCTCTATGCAAACACTAAAGGCGGGCGTACACGGTGTGATTTTTGGCTCTTTTACGAGCTCACAGATGATTTTTTTCACTTGGGAGAAATCGCGTGTAAATCGGTTATACTCTCATGTCACGGTGTGCGAGGAAGATACGAGCCGAGCCGAGCACCTCTCGACCTCCCGATAATTTTTGAGCATGTCGAAAAAGATCGGGAGCTGTCGGCTTGCATTCATGAGGTGTGTGCTGTTGAATGAGCCGATTTGTCGATCTATCTGAACTTGACCAATCAGGAGCTGTGGACATCCACAGAAGAAAAACGAAAATGGTGTGGACTACTAGAAACACTGCTTCAATTAATGTTTTTATGATGACTTAGTGAAAGGTTAACTAAACAGCATCTGCCGTGTTCCTACTGGCCAGTATTTGGCATATTTCATTCTGAAACATCTGTAGGCTATTATGCTATTGTTTTTGATAGTGTTATACATTTCAAGGCCGATAACAAAACTCTGCTTATTGCAAGAAGCAGAAGGAGAATAAGACATAAAGACTGCAAATGGAAATTTCATTGAAAATTATAATTTTCTAAAATAACTGTTTAAAAGAAAAGTTTTGTTATGACACTTTAGATAATGTCATGATCCGGCCTTCTTGTCATCCATTTCCCCAAGTCTTGAGGCTGGATCATGACAGACCCATGTTTTGTGTACAAGCACATGGTCTTTTGTTTGGGCCATGTGCTTGTGTTGTCTCTCGTTACATAACCCCGCCCCCATGTTATCCTCTTCTTGTCATTATTGTCTAGTCCGCTTCACCTGTCCTCGTCATTAGTGTTCCCCTATTTAATCCCCTACTGTCCTGTGCTGGTTCATTGTTTCATACTGTACTTTGTGAGATTCTCTCCGTGAGTACCTTGTCTTAGTAGAGAGTTTTGTTTAAGTACTTTGTGTTGTAGTTGCTGTCAGGTAATAGTCTAGTTCTTGCCAAGTGTTATCTAGTTTAGTTATATCTCATTTGTATTACCTCTGTTTTGCCCCCTCGTGGGTTTTGTTTTCCCCTGTTTTCTGTTACAATAAACATTGTGTGAGTTGTCTACTGTCAGCGCTTGGGTTCATCTGCTATAATCATAATAGATAATTGTTACACTTTCGACATATACGATTGGGGGCTGGAGTTTTAGAGACATAACTAGGCTACATTAATCGTTTTGTAATATTTATATTGAGAGTTATGTTTTTTGATAAAAGAATATTGTGTTATTTGTCTGGTATCATAGGACTTTACTAGTTTTACGTTGTATGTGTAATAAGTTGAAGAAGAAAGGGTTGGTGCTAGACTGTCTTTTGACCTTGAAAACTAAAGGATCGAATTCACGTTATTGGAATGGAAACTTCTTTTTGTGTGCGTGTGTGTGTATTTGAGTTCTCTTAAAATATAACCTGACAACTAAAAAGTAAAGTTTACAAGACAGGTTATGGATTCACTCGTCAAATCCTTTGTGCTACACCCTTGTAGAGATAGCAAAGGAAGAAAAAAGAAAAAACGCTCAGATCACCTTTAGTGTTTTTTGTGAATTTATGTTGTGTGTTTGTGTATTTTATAGATATATTGTCAGTTGCTGTATAGGAGAAAACTTATTATTGATTTGTTCTTTATTGTTTTAATAAAAGTTGTAAATACATCCTTATTATCAGTTATTCCCTTTGTCTTCATGGAAGCACCACAGAAACCACCATATTTGTAAAGTGGGATTTACACGACATATGCTTTGCTTTGCATATTGTTGGCTTCTCGGACTTATGGGATGCACAAAAATATCTAGGCAAATCAGTGTTGGTATAAAGTTTGATACAGTATTTAAATCACAGACTCACAGATATAAAACTGTAAGTTTAATTCATTTAATTTTATAGCATTCGCATTGCCAACTGTTTTCACATTCTTAAGAACGTGATGGCTTCGTGGGTAAGACATAGTCTTCAAAATCTTAATGCATTACTGAATGTAAACTGTGTAAATGTCAGGTTTATGAGATTTATTTAATTGATTCAATAATTAATAATATACTGTGGTTCATCTTGTGTTGCCATCACATTTGAAATGAAGATGTTTAATGTATTTAATATGTAATCATTTCCAGAAGCAGTTTACACATTTAGATGTTTGTTATGATATATGAACATGTTACACATCACATGTAATATGTACACTGTAGTGTAAAATGGTACTCATTGAGCTCAAATGTCTATTACTAGACATCATATATTCACAAATCTTATGAAAATTCTCATCACATTTTATAAAAGTAACATTATAATGCTAAATGTAGTGACATTTCAGGTAAAATCACACGTTGCCATTTTTGTTTTTATTAGATGTGGTAAAAAGAACTTGCTAATCTGACAAAAAACTTTACCATCATTACAGGCTTCTGAATCCACAGCTTGTCTTCCACAATCCTGGCTCATCATTATCTACAGTCTCCTAACGCAGTGTAAGAAATGAGATTATAATTAAAAATAATTAAGCTGTACACACATTAAATAATTTTCACATCACTTTAGTTAAAAAAGCTTTAATTAACAAGGTAATTAACAAAGTTATGTAATGCTTAAAGGTTAAATTTAACCTTTTTATACTATTTATAGTATAAACAGTATTTATACTGTTGTTGCTTGTGTAGATTGTAATACTGTATGAGTGAAAATACATGAATCATAAGTTAAAGAGTTTTTTCACACAAAACTGAAAGTTCTGTCATCATTGCTAACTGTAATGACTGGGTGGAGGCAGTCAGATCCATCCACTTTATTGAAACGGGTAAGGAAACAAGGAATCACTGATAATGAAGCATGTGCAAAACAAGACTTCGCAAGGGACAAAGATCTGAGCAGTCCAAACTAACCCTTATTTTGGATGAATAAATAATACATTTTAAGTGATAAATTGATTGTTAAGTGATCAGTTGATGATCTGTCAAGCATTATAATAAACATTAAATTTCGGTCGTTAAGTTTCGGTCTTTAATTCAGACAAAAAGTTGTTCAATTGATATTTATATTCTTATTTCACTGAACTGAAAACACTTATTACTACCTCTAGTTATTTTGTTTAATATATTAATTTCTTCTTACAGCACTATTAATGAAACCTGCAGGGACTATTAACTGCTCCGAACCGACTACAGATGCTCTTTTAACAGCCCTGAAGGAGAACGTCTTTGGCAAAACTGAGATTAGGCCAGTTATTCACCCGAAAACTCCCACAAACATCAGTGCGACCTTCACGCTGTATGGAATTTTAGATGTGGTAAGTTTGTTTAATCACAGACAATCAAATGTGTTGCGATAAGACAAAAAAAAAAAAACATAGCAGAGGTAAGAATCTGAAAGTGGGCAGAAATACAAGCAGATCTTATAGCAGGAACAAAATAGAGCTCCAAATCTGTATTAATAGGAAACATAAAGCCAGTGTGCCTTTGTGAAGACAGGGCTGAGTGAAGTTGTGTATTTCAAAAAGTTGGCCAAGTTGAACCCTAAGGAATCCCTAAAATTTAGAAATTATAATTTATATAATTAAATAAAATTACAGTTTACAGTCGGTAACGGTCATTTAAAGAACACTTACTTTTCCTGCTCGCCACTTTGCTGTTATATTGAGCTGGTTTGTGAATGATATTTTAGAATTTAATCAATTAAGAAATAAATGTTATGGTGCATGTCTTTAGACAATCGTGGGGTTGGAAATTATGTACATTCTTATTTTATTATTTTCTTTCAGGATGAAAAAGCTCAATTATTTGAGTCGTACATTTGGTTGTTTATGGTAAGACCTTCTGCAGCGTTTGTTTATTCATTTAAAGAAGTGAGATCCCTCACAATTTCGTGCAGCCTTTATTATAATGATACTTTGTTTTATAGGTTTGGAATATTGAAGGCTTGAGCTGGGATCCCGATGAATGTGGAACAGACAGAATCTCACTGCCAAGAAAACAACTGTGGAGGCCCGATATTGTCATCAATGAATTGTGAGTTCAAAAGTATCAAACTATTATATTTGATTAACTGTACGTCAATGCTGATTAGTGCTAATGAAATGTATCATGAAATGTTACGAGACTTTTTGCACTTTAGTACATCTGACTTAAAAGCCTACTCAAAAGCTTTAATAAATGTGATGGATAGAAGGAATGCCCTGTAACATTTGCATATACCCTTTCCTAATGCTGCTGTTTCTTTGTTTTTTTTACTCAAAAGCGTGGATGAAAATAAAGTCCCAGAAACATATTACCTCTATGTCCAAAATACTGGTATAGTAACGGATGGTCTTCCAATTCATGTGATCAGTTCCTGCAACATGGACATCTACACCTTTCCATTCGATATTCAGAACTGCACATTTACTTTTAATTCATACAAGCTCTTTGGTAAGTTGGCTTGACTGGAGGGTAGATTTTCAGTTATAACTACAACATTTGTGACCCCTCATTTGTTTGGTCTTTTCTACAGCGGCGGATGTTCAATTGTCTTTTATTGAACCAGTGGAGGAAACACTTAAATTTTCCCTAGATGCAATGCAAACTAAAGGAGAGTGGGAGCTAGTCACCATGCAAGCTGAAAAACCTGCATTACGTCCTGAAGAGCTAAAAACATCTTTTGATGCACTCATTTACTATGTATGAATGCATATAAATTAGGAAAAATCATTTTTATTGGAACATTTATTACAGTTTTTATATTTTATGATTCAGATCGTTCTCAGGCGTCGACCGACCATGTACGTGGTGAACCTCCTGATTCCCAGCTGTTTCCTCATTGCTGTAGATCTATTCAGCTTTCTTCTACCAACTCAGAATGTGGATCGATCTTCCTTCAAAATGACCCTCATCTTGGGTTACACTGTGTTCCTGCTGCTAATGAACGACCTGCTGCCCGTCACAGGAAACAGCTTACCTCTCATAAGTTTGTATAGGAGCTTTTTTTGTAGCGTTACACTTTTTCATAACTAGGCGAGTACTTATTCTGGCTGCACTGAAAGAAAATGCTCAAGTTAAGTTTACACCCGTGCAAACCTCTTTTTTAGCATTAAAAATACTGTCAGGACTTACTACGGACATGCAGTGAGAAATAATGGTTACACTTATAATTTTATAATTTTAATTTTATAATTTTACATTTAAATACTGAAAAATAGTAATTGACTATGTATAGGGTTAGGGTAGGATTAGGGATTGGGGTTAGTTTGTTAATCGCATATCATTTTCATGTTTAAAGTTTGTTGGATCAAATCCAGTGTGTATCCAGATTTAACCATTTGAATTGTGGAATGATCATAAAATATCCTTTTACAATCCGATGTCCAAATATGTCAAATATGACCATATAAAGGGCGTGGCAAAGTTTGCTCTACTCTTGGTAGATTGTGATGGTCATTATGGAAACGAGCTGAAAATTTTCCACACCCGTCTGCGCTTTCTGGGATTTCAGTCTCACAGAAATTGGCCTGTTTTATAAATCTGGCCCAAAAATGTCTTGCCACTTGTCACAGTCATTGTTAGTTATGACAGGTTTAAAGCATATTTCCTCTCTTGCCAACATTACATTTCCTCTCTTTTACATTAAATCTCTTTCCAGATGTGTTTTTCTCTCTCTGCTTGGCACTGATGGTGGCCAGTCTTCTGGAGACAATTCTTATCATAAATATTCAGTGTGGCTCCAGTAACTATGGACCGTTACCTCGATGGGCCAAGGTGTTTTTCCTCAACTACCTTGCTAAACTTGTTTTTTTAAGCAAGAAACCCAGTGACCAAAACTGTGGTCCTGAAGGTAAGTCCTACATGCAAAATTAAATGTCTGTCTAGTGTTGTTTATAAATTTAAAACCTGCCAGATAAATGTACGGATGATCTACTGTGGTGACGCCACAGGCTGAAGTTTTATTCAATTGTTTTGAACTAATCATTTCCAAATGTCATTAATGGCTTGTTTCCACCAAGCGGTACTGTACAGTACAGTACGGTACGCAATTATTTCCGTTTCTACAGTTAAAAGTTGTGAATCGTACCAGAATGCCGAACCGTACCGTACTACTTTCTCGGTACCTGTTGGCTACAGTAGTACAGTACCAAAAGGGTGGAGCTAGACTCACTGGAGAACGTTGATTGGTTGTAGTTGAATGTAGTTGTTTAAAGCTCAAATATTTGGCTACATTTCACAACCTAGATCAAATCTACTGTTGATCCAGGTTGTGAGATCCAATCCAGGCGATCACCGGGCGCTCAGCGCTCATGTCCCCCGCATGGAACAGCCTTTCCTCGGCTAGTCATTGTGATTGCATAATTCATCTAGTGTAGAATGGTAAATGGACTGCATTTACATTTTGCCTCACATTCATCCATTCATACACCGACGGTGGTGTCAGCCATACAAGGAGCAGCTATGCTTGGGTGTCTTGCTCATGACCAGGTGGAACCGGGATTGAACCACCAACCTTCCAGTTTTTAGACAACCTACATGAACCACTGGGCCACTACCGACCCTCAGTTAAGACAAGCACCAAGAAGTAATTGGCGATCTTTGGTCTTGTGAATCTATAATTGACTCCCTGGCCAACCGTTATGGCTGAGGGCTAAGTGAAGTTTCATAACTTTATATATTTAGGCTATTTAACTTTACCGTTGTAACATTAGACTACTAGAGTGCTGACTTTGTATGTTTGACTGAATTTTTTGCTTTATTTCTTATTTTATAGCTTCTTGTACCTTTACTTTTATAATGGCTATTATTGATAAAACTATAATTTAACTAAAAGAGACAGGGACTAACCCTAACTTGGCAAGTCCGAACTTTGCATACTTAGTATTGAGAAACGCCTTATGTTGCTGCTTGTCTTATTGTGACATACAGCCACATGCCGAGAAGCAAGAATAAGAACGCATTCTTCTTCGGGCAAAAATTACGTAGATCATTTCTTTTTAGTATAGACTACGTCAATTAAGTAAGGGTACTGTTGGCAGTGGAAAGGCAAGCCAGATCAGGGTTTACCATCCCGAATCGTACTGTGTACTCTGTGTAAATGAGCCATAAGAGTAATCTATTTATGTATAAAAATGTATTTATTTCAATAACTTCTCTTGTGCCTGTAGAGCACAGTACTGAGACCAAACACTGTGATCCTGTAGATGACACCCCTCTGAGAGAAGCGGTCCATAACACAAATCCTACACTTCAGGAACTGAGAAGGATAAGCCACGAGTTACTATCCATCCGTCAGCAGGTTGATAAACATTTTAAAACTGATGAGAGAGTAGACGAGTGGGTACATTTGAGTGAAGTCATTGACCGCTTGCTTTTTGGGATGTATCTTATCTTTCTCTCAGTGAGTTTCATCACTATATTTCTCATCTGGCTGAACTGGTACAACAAACAAGCATCTTTGATATAAATAAACCAACTGAAACTAAATAGGAATAAGTGTTGAGTGTACATGATTACTGAACCTGTAACATATTGCCATTTATTAAATCGGTAGCACTTTGTTGTACAGTCATGCTTCCCATACTATGTACTTATTTGAGTAATTACAAAAACTGGGAAATAACTAGATATTAACTCTGAACCTACCCCTAAACCTAACCATAACCCATGTAGTTACAGTAACTTATACCATTACTTTCTTAGGTAACTACAATGCAAGTATACGTACTGTAAAATAAAGCAACCATTAAAGCAGCACTATGAAGAATTTCCGTTTTTGTCAAACTTTGTCAAACTGTGACCCCTAGAGTCGCTGTGGAGTACTTGTATTGTCGTAAATAGCACTCATTCAAAGATGTCTCTGCTCTCATGGCCTGATCCCCTCCCCCTGTATACCGGTACCTGTTCAGTAGGATGGAAGCTGTAACGAGTGGAAATAAGGGGTGGCCCCTTTAAGAGCTGCGCCCTGTTGAACTGTCGGCAGTCTGTATTGTATGCGCCTCGAACACCACCAAACACCTCGAACGGCACCGGGTTATGCTAATTTTAGCAGATCTTTCATGCCGTTGCCAATTCGTTACATCGCGAGACCTGATATCACGCGTCACTTCCTGATGCTGCGGCCGGTGCACCACTGGCTCAAAGTTGCAAGTGCATTTTTTCTGCTCATAGGCGCCCAAAATTCAACCCGAAAATAGTTATGATATAACCATTGCAATAAATCCGAAGCTATTCAGTTAAGGTAAAAAAAACCTGCATAGTGCTGCTTTAAATATAATGGAATGTAATAATGCTGTATAGCTAATAGAGAATATTTTCTGCAAAAGTTCTTTACTTTTATATTTATTTTTGTTTCTCTTTTTTTACATTTCAAATTATCATAAATGTGTAGTCCTATTAGGTCTAAGGGTTTATACATACATATATATATATATATATATATATATATATATATATATATATATATACACTGAGCTGTTGGAAATAAATGCGCGTCACAAATGTATTTCTATAATACCTCGTAGTTTACAGATACCTTATGATATATTATGAGTTAAATAGAATAAAAAATGGTTTGGAAATTTGAAAAATACTGTATAATTTAACTGTCGCTGTCTACCCACTACCTATGACAAGGATGGATGGATGTTACCATGTTGTTTCTTCTAAAACGCTCTGTCATTTTCTTCTGTTTGTTTCTTTTTCTCCTCTTGAAAAATTAAAATTGTCTGATATCATATATAAGGAAGTTATATTTATCTTTTATCTGTTAATATGATGTTAATAAGTTGACTGTGTGTATAAAATATCTTCTTATTAAACTGTTTGGACACTGACAAAGTTCTCAATCCTTCGGTTTGAATGTAGGGACCCTTATTATGCTGTCGTGTTAGTGTGGGGCTATTTTGAGCCTTGTTAGTGGTGATAACAAGCGATTTTTATTTGTCATTACTCTATGCCCTATATACTAGCATTATACTAGCGTTATAGGCTAAACTGTTTTTAGAGATAAAACTATTTACATTCGGCAATCATGAAAACAAATCTCAGATAACGGTTGACTAGGTAGCAATGTGTGATTAGACCAAAGGTTAATTTTGCGCCGGAGTTCTCCTTTAAGACTCGAAACAAATAATTACAAATGTACTTACAGAAATGTAGAGTATTACATTTCATGGTGGCATTATCTGTACTTCTGTAACATGTTGTCCAGTAGAGGGTGAAAAAATAGCTTTAACTTGCATTGCTGTGATTTGGGCTGTCACAAACTGGATCAGTTGTGACAGCTGCAGTGATGCATATTCATAGTCTTTGGACAGTTTTCATTCAATTTCAATCAGCCAAGACTGAATGAGACATTCAGTCTAGCAAGCTCATCCCTCAAATTACTACTGCTTACATGAAAAAATCATAGTGATAATACAAATTGTATCTTTATTCATAAGTTTTTATTCTGCTATAGTCCACTATCTCTGTTACTTTGACTGGTAAAGTGTGAGGTGTTGACCTTTGGACAGAAACTGATACTGTACAGTATGTGCCAGCTAAGTTTCAGTTTTGTTTCTTATGATTTGCAAAATAAAAATTTACTTTTTGAGTCACTCAACAATACTTAAAATAGATGACTTTACCTTCCAGTTATTTTTGAAAATAGAACCAAAACAGACCTAATTAAATCAAACCTATTTTAAATGTATTTTGGATTAGATTGTCAACTTTGTTGTGTTTTTGTATTTTACAGTCAATTGAAAGGATAAAAAAAAAACTCTAGAAAAAAATCCACACTTCATTTCAAATCACTTGAATCAAAAGATATTAGATAAGTATTTAATGGATACAATTTGAACTGAAATGTCATATTTGATAGCTAACTTTATTGCTCTAATACTTTATAGTTTTAAAAAAATGATCAAGATTCTGTAAACTCTTCTGAAGTTGAACATTTCATGTGCTTTGGCAACTACCTCAAAATAATCAGTGTTAATACGTTTAATGTAATGGGAAATATGTAATGATCCAGCATGATCTCATTGTTAATACATAGGTATTAATAAGTAACTTTCAAAGACACAAAAAGTCTCAGTTACGGATGTAACCCTTGTTCCCTGAGTAGAGAACGGAGACGTTACGTCAGATGACGAGAATGGGGGTTTCGTCCAGAAAACCTATCATCTCTGAGTATTATAAAACAAGCCAATGGCAATGAAATGCCATAGGTCTGCAGAATTTGCATAGCGTATCTCAGCCCCACCTCATGGGTATAAAAGCACAATGGCGGCAAAGGCAGTTATGTCTCCGCTGAGGAGCCGAGACTGAACTCAGGCGTCTATCCAGAGGTACAGTAGAAGTGGCAGTGAGACGTAACCTCTCCGTTCCCTACTCAGGGAACGAGGGTTACATCCGCAACCGAGACGTTCCCTTTCGTAGTCACTCCGAGTAATGTTGGATGACGAGAATGGGGTCCCCGTGTAATCACGCCACCTTCACAGCCGTCTTCCAGTGCCCTGCGAAAGTCTGATCTCCCTGCCGTGATACTGGCATGAACGAAGGAGTCCTACTTAACACAGGAATACCAAGGAACACTGGGGGGCATATCTCAGAGGAAATATGCCACAGTATGCCTACTCCCAGGGAGGACTTAGGGCTACACATATGGCCCGATTGGGGGCTTCATATGGACACTGGAGTAACCAGCCCGTGGGGTGGCAACTTTCAACTCCGGGAGTGGTAAGGTGGCTTGCCGGGGGAAAGACACATACTCAAGGAGGCTTACAGTGGAAATACACATGTGGGGGTTACTCAGAGGAGGAACCATGCACACGGAAGGCACCAGTGATGCGCGGGTTGATCCGAAATGAGCGGGTGCCTGCGGTCACCCGCGGTTACCCGCAGTTACGGGTCATCCAAAAATGTTTTTAATGATATTCGGGTCGAGGTCGGTCGGGTCGTTTGAAAAAAGATGCCAATTAAACATTTGTATTAGTACTAGACACAATTTTTGATGAAATATACAGCCCTACACATTATTGGCTGAATAACTGGCACGAAGATAACACACAAGCTCAGTCTAAACAGTTCTCGGTTCTATTCGAGAACCGCTGTCCCTGTGCGTTCGGTAGTACGCAGTATCTATGCGCAGTATCAGCTGCTCGTGCTCATCACTTCTCTCAACAGTGGCACCAACATGTCTCGGTTCAGTGAACTGTTGGAGTTACTGGAGTAAAATAGAATTCAGGATATTGATTTATTTCGATTGTCAGGCATGTCTGAAAGTAAGTAACTAACTTGTGGAGCAGCACTGACGCAAGACGCGAACTGTTTCGAACGATTCAGTTCGATTTAGTGTAGGTTCGACCGGTTCACTAAAAAGAACCGGTTCAAAAGAACGATTCGTTCACGAACCGGCCATGTCTATGATCACTACAGTCTGCAGAGATGGAGGCGGCAAGAGAACAGGTGAAGACTGGGGAGTGGAAGCTCCGCAAATAGAAAGAGTAAAAGTGTGGGAGACATTTGCTGAAATAATGAAATATAATGACCAAAGTGCTGGCTTTGTCTTTATGTGTATAGGCCAGGCCTACGTCTTCTTGCGATGCTGTGTTGTTACACGTCTATGGCCCAATAACGCTCCGATGAGCATTAACTACTTTTAAAAAATGCGGTCAGAAAGCGGGTCGGGTACAATATTTTTTTACTTTTTTTTGCGGTCCGAGTTGCGAGCGGGTAGTTGAAAACGTCGGTCGGTTGCGGTTTGTTTATACATTGACCCGCGCATCACTGGAAGGCACCTAGCCAATGCACAGGCAATAACGTCAACAGTGCTGGAGGAACTCAGGGTTTCTAAGAGGAAAGCTCACCTGAGGAGAATATCGCACGTATCCAGTCCATGGAGTGCTACTTACGTAAGTAGTAGAATTATTACTTACTTACTTACACCTGAGCGGGTCCTAGTACCGGCTGGTTGAAGCGAGTACATGAGAGGACACAGGCTCCTCTCGGAGATTCTAGAATCAGGCGGATGTGTTGGGTGTCGCCCAGCCTGCAGTTCTGCAGGTATCTGTTAGCAAGGCGCCATGCGCTAGAGCCCAAGAGGAAGCCACACTCCGGGTGGAGTGTCCTATCACACCAAGGGGCATGGTTGGCCTTGCTGCGGGTAAGCCAAAGCAATGGCATTCACTATCCAGTGAGACAACCTCTGCTTTGAAAGAGCCTTTCCCTTCAGTCTCCCACCATAACAAACAAAGAGCTGGTCTGAGGTCCTGAAGCACCGTGTTCTGTCTACGTAAGCACGGAGGGCACGTACTGGACAGAGCAGTGCCAAGGCTGGGTCTGCCTCCTCCAGGGCCGGCACTTGCAGGTTCACCACCTGGTCCCGGAAGGGAGTGGTGGGAACGTTGGGCACATATCCAGGCCGGGGTCTCAGGATCACGTGAGAATAAGCCGGCCCGAATTCCAGGCACGCTTTGTCAACAGAAAATGCGTGCAGGTCCTCTACCCTCTTGATGGAGGCCAGTGCAACCAGGAGTGCTGTCTTAATAGACAGATATTTAAGCTTGACTGATTGTACAGACTCAAAGGGAGGCCTCTGCAGGGCATTTGAAACCACTGAAAGGACCCAAGAGGGAACGAGAGGAGGGCGAGGAGGATTCAGTCTCTTCGCTCCTCTCATGAACCTGATGATCAAGTCGTGCTTTCCTAGAGACTTATATCAGGGTTGAAATGGAGGAGATGCCACTAGATTTAAGAAGGGAAAAGCTTACAATGATGTACTGGGTTAATTTGCAGGGTTGTAATAAGAGTCATTGGTAACACTTTACGGTAAGGGTACATGAATTATCATGAATTCATGAATAAGTTAACGCATTAATTATGCATTCATTCATGCATTAATATCTCATGAATCATCAGGAACTAACACAAGTTCAATATTTTTCATTCATGACTTCATGAATGAACAACACCTTAATTAAAACATTAACTAAGATGAGCACATCATCATGAATTATGATTTATTACGCATGATCATGATGTTTTCTTTGTTCACATTTATGCCACCTTTCAATAGTACATTGTTCATCAGTGTTTCAAAGGACCTAGTCACCACTTTAGTTAAGGGGCCACACACATGATGAAGTCATTGATAGATAATGCTTAGTTAATGATGACTTCTGTATTTGATGAATGTGTGTGCTATTAGCTGTGATTGGTCTATTATAGTGTCTGTCCAATAGTCATCATTAACTAAGCATTAATCTATTAATGACTTCATCATGTGTGTGGCCCCTTAACTAAAGTGGTGACTAGGTCACTGACCTAGACAAAGAACAAAGAAAACATCATGATCATGCGTAATAAATCATAATTCATAATGATGTGCTCATCTTATGTTAATGTTTTAATTAAGGTGTTGTTCATTCATGAAGTCATGAATGAAAACCGTTGAATTTGTGTTAGTTCCTGATGATTTATGACAAATGAAGAGTTCAGATGCAAAAGCCTCTAAATGCCATTTGAAATTTTCTTCTAAAATGACCATTTTTATCAAGCTTGTATATTTAAGTTCAGTAATTTCACTTAAATGGCAATTAATAGGTAATCTTCATTGCCATTTAAGTGAAATTACTGAACTTAAATATACAAGCTTGATAAAAATGGTCATTTTAGAAGAAAATTTCAAATGGCATTTAGAGGCTTTTGCATCTGAATTCTTCAAATAATGCATGAATGAATGCATAATTCATGCATTAATTTATACATGAATTCATGATAATTCATGTACCCTTACTGTAAAGTGTTACAGAGTCATTGCACACAAGCAATTTTAAATGACTTTTGGAAATATAAAAAGAATAATAGGAATAGTTTTGAATGGAAGTATAAACAATGGTTAAAGGAATGTGTAGTTAGAAAATGTAGTTATTTGTCCCAATATGCCATTAAAAGGGGTATCAATATGGAATATTCCTGAGCCTAATGTTGAAATGAGACTGCTTGGGGATCGGGAGAAAGCAGAAGGAAGATATACTAATGGTTATGAAATCAATGGTTTTATGAGAAAAAAATTTGTATTCTTGTTTACAGATCTATACAGATGGATCTAAAGACCCAATCGAACAAAAAGTGGGAGTAGGAGTATATATTCCAAAATTTGAGACAAAAATAAGTCTAAGGTTGAGTGACAAAACGTCTGTAAATTCATCAGAACTATTTATATATATTGTCAACAAAAACTGACAGAGAAGACCTGATAGTAGAAATGTACACATTATTATATAGGCTGAGCATAGAGGGTATAATTGTATACTTTTGTTGGGTATATTGGCATAGTAGGAAACAGATTAGAATTAGAAGCATTAAGTGAAAACATGGTAGATATTAAGATACCTTTAGAAAAAATGAAGTTAATATATATAGAAGTAAATAGAAATAATAAGAATATGGCAACAAAGATGGGTAAGTAGCAGTGCACGTAGGTGGAATTATAGTATTGTAAAATCAGTAGGGATAAAATAATTGTGCTATGGAAGACATGACTTCTAGATTAAGGATGGGTCATACATGGTTAAAATCAACACTTGCATTAATGGGAAAGCATGGAAATGGTATGTGTGATGAATGTTGTTGAAACAGTAGAACATGTGTTTTTTAAGTGTAGTAAATATGAAGAACAGCGTATGGGGTCTTTTGAGTAATATAAAGAACAGGCCTGTGAGTATCATGGACCTATTGGGAAAGGGTTTGAGTGACAGAGAGAGGTTTAAGGCAGTGATAACATTTTTAGAGCTTACAGAGCTAGATCACAGGATCTAGAGCCTGAGGTGGAAGAGCAAGTAGCTCTGATCATTCTGGAGGTTGAAGAGCTCAGTGTGGAAGCTGGAGGAGCTGAACACGCAGCGTCAGATAATGCACAGGCTCTGATACTGTAGGATGGTAGGGTTTTTTTTTTTTTGCTTCCTAATTAAATCCATTAATCATGTGCGTAAGGTATACAGTGGATGGCGGTAATACTCCAAAGGAGTGAACGGCCATGAAACGGAAAGAAGAAGAAGAAGAAAAAGTGACAGAAACAAGACCAAATCGTGACAGTCTTGTAGCACCCTGTGTTCTTCCAGCGAAACTCATTTTGAGACAACTGTGCAAAGACAAATTAGGCTAGGATTAGCCTGACTCCGTCATACTCATATTGAAGAGAGAATATGAGTCTGAAACCGCTCTATTAGGCTTTGATTATGAGGCATGTCTTAACCGAACCAGGAAAAAAAAAACCTCTGCACTTAATTGGATAGTCGGTAGACCTACAACCAGTCAGAGCAACGCAGTAATTCAACTCCTTTGCATAGCGCAGTTTTCAAATACAGAACGTAGCCTAACTTTATTTATTTTAGAAGTTAAATAACAAGTGTTGCTTCTTTTACTTACTTCTCCATGAGTGCCACCAAAGGAGAAACCACAACGACCACAGGCTTTTTATTACGTCCCATCTTCTTAACGACTGTCAGAGCCAGCTGATAAGTTACACTTTTCCAGAATCATGTAGGAAGGACGCCAAAAATATCTTTCAGATCGACAAATGCCTTGAATGCAGTTCTCTGTTTGGAATCTATACATCTCAATTCTCCAGCTGCAGCCATCTTTGACAAGCGCTCTTTGATAACGTGATGATTACGTCCCTGCAGATCATCTGTCCATCATCCTATAAAGCCCGCCCTGGCAATTTGATTGGCCCTATCATTTTTTGCCTGATCATAATTTCTCCTCAATGGATCGAGTCCAGACCGAACTTCCCGACCAAAAAATGTTGTGGGCGGAGTTCGGGCTGGAATCCAGGCTAGGCTAGGATCAGAACATGCAGGAAAATCAAGCACAAAAATGGTTCATGTGGCAAAAGGACAAACAATAGCCAAACTTCAGTGTAATTAGATGCTTTAAGCCAGACAATTTTGGAACAACTAAGTCTGCTCAATTACATAATTTTGCAGATGCAAGTGAAAATGGATATTAACTGTTAATAACTGTTTTTTATCTAGTACTCACAAATGAGCAAGAAAAACACTGTCCATTCGTAATGGTTACATTCAGAGTTGCACCTCTGAAGCAGGTAACAATGCTTAGGATGGAGTTGACTGCAGCAGTTGTTTGACAAAAGCAGCAATAATATGACAACATTTTAAAATATGAGCTTTGGTTACAACTCAAAGACTATGTTCTGGACTGCATCACAGTGCTGCAATGCATTGAGAATGAAGCCTCATGTTTTAAACCGTTTGTTGGCAATAGGGGTTCCTTCATCAGAAAAGCTTCTGAGTCCTTACAGTGGACGTATGTCAACATCTTGCTCAACCCAGGCCTCCGACATGGCCTCTAGAGGCATTTAAGTGGAAAACTCCATGAAAAAGGAAAAATGGGTCAAAGAACCAGAATTGCAAACTTGAAAGTGAATGGCCTTGGTGACCAGATCAGGCAGGTGCAATGGAAGTGGAATTGAAAAAAAAATCAGCTGTAGTAAATTGTGTCAGTGCTACAGGAAAAGCGAAACCTTTGGATAAACTGATTATTCAGAATAGTGTCACAGGTCGGGGCGGGCCAATCTGACCTGCACCCGTCCCTCGAGACCTGTACCACCCTTGGGGAGCCTGAGGAGGACGGAGCAAGGAGGACAGACAAGAAGAATTTGGTAAAACAAGGCTTTATAATAAGGATAAAATTATTCAAAAGAATGTAGGGTCAGGGCTGCTCTGTTGCCAACTTCTCCAGGAGTCAGTCAGGGGGAATTTGAAGCACTTCATTCCTTTTTGCAGGCTGGAGGTTTCACTGCGAAGTAGACAGGTGAGTATTCAGGCATGTAACCTCTTCACTGGCAGGGCCAACGGACACAGAGCTCTCAGCCGGGGAACTACACTGCAAAGCAGACAGGTGAATATACAGACATGTAATCCTCTGGCATACAGACACACAATCCTCTTCTTGGCTCATAATCCTCTTCTTCTCCCATAGACAGACAGAGAATTTACGGGCTGGAGGTCTCCACTGCAAAGCAGTCGGGTGTGAGCATACAGGCACGTCATCCTCTTCTTTTGCAGGGCCGACAGACACAGAGCTTACAGCGGGGGAACTTCACTGTAAAGCAGACTGGCATACAAACTGGCATCTGTGTTCTGGCAGAACACAGAGGCCGACAGACAGAGGCCTACAGTGGGCGAACTTCACTGTAAAGCAGACTGGCATACAAACACACAATCCTCTTCTTAGCTCATAATCCTTTTCTTCTCCCATGGACAGACAGAGAACTTACGGCTGGAGGTCTCCACTGCAAAGCAGTCAGGTGTGAGTATACAGGCACGTCATCCTCTTCTTTTGAAGGGCCGACAGACACAGAGCTTACAGCGGGGGAACTTCACTGTAAAGCAGACAGGTGAATATACAGGCACGTAATCCTCTGGCAAACGGACACACAATCCTCTTCTTAGCTCATAATCCTCTTCTTCTCTCATGGACAGACAGAGAACTTATGGCTGGAGGTCTCCACTGCAAAGCAGTCAGGTGTGAGTATACAGGCACGTAATCCTCTTCACTGCAAAGCAGTCAGTTAAACATTCACTACGCGTCTCTTCACAGCGGGCTGCCAGATAAATACACTCAAACGGTCTGTGGAGTACAACAGTGTTAGCCTCTTCTTGTATAGTCAGAATGTGATAGAAAACTCAGGTAAGACATGGACATCCAGCGGGATTAGGTTCACACTTCACATAGCAAGTAGTGCATCACATCACTTCATCTCACTTCATCTCACTTCATCAGCACTCAGTGGGAAATACACATATGGCCGTCGCCCATCTTCTGATCTGGCTTTCACATCAAGACGTCCCACAGACACACAAGAGAGGAGGATGGAAATTGATTTGGGCTACTCACTATCTCTCACAAACGATCTTCAGTCCCATGTTTACCTCTTTCTCCCAACTCACAGCCCCGCGCCCGTGCCGGCCCCACTTCCTCTTCACCACAGCTCACTCTTTCCACGAGAACACTGTTCCCAAAAGCAACGCCCTGTTTAGTCTCGACTTCCTCCTTTTATATTCCTTTTGTCATGACGTGTCCCAATCGCGAGGCTTTGTTCCCCCGTGCGCAGCTGCCAGCGATCTTCGGCTGATTATCCTGTTCGAGGGGATTTTTGCGCTAACCCGGAACTAGCCCGTTGTTATGGGTCCGGCGGGAGGCAAATCCCGGCAAACATTAGTTCAACCTAGGGAAAAAAATTTTATTTTGTCACCCCGTGACAATAGTACAGATTGAAGAGAGCAATTGCTTGGATGTTGAGGCAGAAGGAAATCCTCCAACACCTATCACACAAGAGACGTGAAATTCAAGCTACCATACGTACCATACGCAGCCATACAGTAGCTGATTTACAAAATACACAGTGTGCAGAAGATGAAATGCCTAAATCAACAAACAGAAAATAGCAGATCTGCCAAGAGTTATCGGTGTTGTCAGATAATCCTCCCTTTACCCACACAGGAGTAGATTATTTTGGTCCTGTCTCAGTAAAATCATGGTAAAGAGGAATGGAGTGTTGTTTACATGTCTGAACATAAGAGAAGTTCATATTGATGTGGCCAACAGTCTTGATACCTCATCATGCATAAACGCCATTCAACGCTTCTTCAGCAGAAGAGGGCAGGTGTCTACAATTCGATCGGACAATGGTATGAACTTTGTTGGTGCTGAAATAGAGCTTAAAAAAAGCTATTCAAGAATTAATCCATCCATCCATCCATCCATCCATCTTCTTCTGCTCATCCGGGGCCGGGTCGCAAGGGCAGCAGTCTAAGTAGAGATGCCCAGACTTCCCTCTCCCTAGACACTTCCTCCAGCTCTTCTGGGGGGACAACGAGGCGTTCCCAGGCCAGCCGGGAGACATAGTCTCTCCAGCGTGTCCTAGGTCTTCCCCGGGTCCTCCGCCCAGTAGGACGTGCCCGGAATTCCTCCCCGGGGAGGCGTCCAGGAGGCATCCAGAACAGATGCCTGAGCCACCTCAGCTGACCCCTCTCGATGTGGAGGAGCAGCGGCTTTACTCTGAGCTCCTCCCGAGTGACCGAGCTTCTCACCCTACCTCTAAGGGATCACCCAACCACCCTGCAGAGAAAGCTCATTTTGGCCGCCTGTATCTGGAATCTTGTCCTTTCAGTCATGAACCAAAGCTCATGACCATAGGTGAGAGTAGGAACATAGATTGACTAGTAAATCGAGAGCTGTGCCTTGTAGCTCAGCTCCTTCTATACCACAACCGACCGGTACATCGACCACATTGCTGCAGAAGCTGCACCGATCCGTCTGTCAATCTCCCGTTCCATCCTTCCCTCACTCGTGAACAAAACCCCAAGATACTTAAACTCCTCCACTTGATGAAGGATTTCTCCACCAACCTGAAGTGAGCAAGCCACCCTTTTCTGACTGAGGACCATGGCCTCGGATTTGGAGGTGCTGATTTTCATCCCAGCCGCGTCACACTCTGCTGCAAACCGTCCCAGTGCATGCTGAAGGTCCTGGTGTGAAGGGGCCAACACGACAACATCATCCGCAAAGAGCAGAGACGAAATCGTGTGGTCCCCAAACCTGACACCATCCGGCCCCTGGCTGCGCCTAGAAATTCTGTCCATAAAAATTATGAACAGAACCGGCGACAAAGGGCAGCCCTGCCAGAGTCCAACATGAATCGGGAAGAAGTCTGACTTACTACCGGCAATGCGAACCAATCTCCTGCTTCGGTCATACAGGGACCGGACAGCCCTTAAAGTGAAAGTGAAAAGGATCGAATTCATGTTATTGGAACGTGAATAAGTGTATCATCTTTTTTAGTTTTATGTGTGTATTTGAGTTCTTTTAAAATGTAATATGACAATGAAAAAGTAAAGTTTACAAGACAGGTTATGGATTCACTCGTCAAATCCTTGTAGAAATGGCAAAGAAAGAAGAAATAAAATACACAAAAACACATTTGTAGAAATGTGTTTTTGTGTATTTTATGGATCTATTGTCAGTTGCTGTAGGAGAAAATGTATTACTAATTTGTTCTTTATTGTTTTAATAAAATTTGTAAATAAATCCTTAATATCAGTTATTCCCTTTGTCTTCATGGAAGCACCACAGAAACCACCATATTTGTAAAGTGGGATTTACACAACATATGCTTTGCTTTGCATATTGTTGGCTTCTCGGAGATATGGGATGCACAAAAATATCTAGGCAAATCAGTGTTGGTATATAGTTTGACATTGTATTTAAATCACAGACTCACAGACACAAAACTGTAAGTTTAATGATTCATTTAATTTTATAGCATTCGCATTGCCAACTGTTTTCACATTCTTGAGAACGTGATGGCTTCGTGGGTAAGACATAGTCTTCAAAATCTTAATGCATTAACAAAAATGTCTGTTGTTTTTAAACATAAAAGCAAGTACATTTCATTTGTCTACTGCATGTAAACTGTGTAAATGTCAGGTTTATGAGATTTATTTAATTGATTCAATAGTAATTAATAATATACTGAGCGGTTCATCTTGTGGTGCCATTACATATTGAATGAAGATGTTTAATGTATTTAATTTGTAATCATTTCCAGAAGCAGTTTACACATTTAGATGTCTGTTATGATATATGAACATGTTACACATTACATGTAATATGTACACTGTTGTGTAAAATACTACTCATTGAGTTCAAATATCTATTACTAGACATCATTCACAAATCTTTATTTTTTTGAATGAAAATCCTCATCACATTTTATAAAAGTAACATTATAATGCTAAATGTCGTGACATTTCAGGTAAAATCACACGTTGCCATTTTTGTTTTTATTAGATGTGGTAAAAAGAACTTGCTAATCTGACAAAAAACTTTATCATTACAGGCTTCTGAATCCACAGCTTGTCTTCCACAATCCTGGCTCATCATTATCTACAGTCTCCTAATGCAGTGTAAGAAGAAATGTGATCATAATTAAAAATAATAAAGCTGTACACACATAATTTTGAATTTTGATATAATTTTGATATTTGATATCTCTTCACTTTGATATCATCTATTCATTTTGATATCAAAAAAAACTTTAATTAACAAGGTAATTAACAAAGGTATGTAATGCTTAATGGTTGCATACTGTTTATGCTTGTGTATAGATTTTAAAACTGTATGTGTGAAAATGTGAAGTTAAAGGAATTTCACAAAACGGAAAATTCTGTCATCATTGCTAACTGTAATGACGGGGTGGAGGCAGTCAGATCTATCTGAAGCACTTTATTGAAACAGGTAAAGAAAACAAGGAATCACTGATAATAAAACGAAAGAAACATGAAAGAAATGAAAGAAGCATGTGCAAAACAAGACTTCGCAAGGAACAAAGAACTGAGCAGTCCAGATAAAGGGTAGGTGATGATTAACAGATGGAGGGGAATGATGGGAATTGCAGTTCAGGTGACAGGTGAGACCAGAGAGATGTGAAGGCGCACGCTCCGTGAAACTAACCCTCGGCTCGTTTTGATGACAGAATTTTTAAATTTTGGGTGAATAACTAATAAATGTTAAGTGAGAAATTGATTGTTAAGTGATCAGATGATGATTTGCCAAGCATTATATTAAACATTAAATGTCATGTTTGTGTAATGCTATTCTAAAAATGTATTATAAACGGTTTCGGTCTTTAATTCAGACAAAAATGTTTTCAATTGATATTTTACTTCACTGAACTGAAAACACTTATTACTACCTCTAGTTATTTTGTTTAATATATTAATTTCTTCTTACAGCACTATTAATGAAACCTGCAGGGACTATTAACTGCTCTGAACCGACTACAGATGCTCTTTTAACAGCCCTGAAGGAGAACATCTTTGGCAAAACTGAAGTGAGGCCAGTTATTCACCCGAAAACTCCCACAAACATCAATGTGAGCTTCATTCTGTATGGAATTTTAGATGTGGTAAGTTTATTTAATATCACAGACAATCAAATGTGTGGGAGATAAGACAAAAGAGCCCCTTAAAGGGATAGTTCACTTTGAAATTAATTTATGATCTGTTTTAGCTTACCCCAAGGGCATCCAAGATGTAGGTGTCTTTGTTTCCGCAGTATTTTCAATTTTGATATTTTTAGGTCAAACCATTCTTGTCTGTCAGTCATTTAATGGAAGTTTATGGGGTCTACCCTAGGTTCACCTCAAAGAGCATGCACAGAGAAGTCCAAATTAAACATGATTTAAAGGGCACCTATTATGCCCCTTTTTACAGGATGCAATATTGGTCTCAGGTGTCCCCAGAATGTAATTGTGAAGTTTCAGCACAAAATACCCCACAGTTAGTTTATTATAACCATTTGAAAATGTCATTTTTGGGGTGCCTTTGGGTGAGGGCGTCATTTGCATACCTAAGGCAGTCGGTCTAGTAAACAGAATGGATGAGACTGAGGATGAGAGACCCACTGTCATTCAGCCATACATGTTTGAATCGGAATATATAAATAGTCTCTGATCAGACCCAGATGAC